TAAGACACTTGTTTAGCAAGAATATCTTAAGAAAAACAACATCTATTTATGACAAATAATTAACATAACTTATTTTTTTAATCTGTTTAAATTAATCAACTAGTTCTTATAATTAAGACCGGAGGTAGTATGCTCTTATTTCTTAATATCTCGTTTTGTGATGGAGATATTTTGAAGATAAAGGTCAGATTCACAACAACTACTTATGCTTTTTTGACTACAAACCCCCCAACTTTTTCCATGGCACAGACTTTATTCACTTGTTATCATCTTAACATTTGCCTGCTCATTGGCGTTCGTTTTAAGTCGTCGAGCACTTATTGGCCATTCTTTTTCTTTTGTCAAAGTGCAGGTACACAAAGCTTAAAAATAACTCGGGGTTGGGTCTGATGAAAAAAGTTAGTCTCTCATAATGTGATAAACTAATATTTAAATCTTATTAAAAGAGTTGTCCACATTTAGTGCCCGATACTGTTTTGAATAGAATTTTTACCAATAGAAAGATACCTATATTTTAGTAATAAAAAAAAAAGCTTAAAAATACCTAAAAGAAAGAACTGAAATACAGAAGTCTTAAGCCAAAGGATATAATTTTAAAATTAAAGGAGTCAAAATTCTTGAGAAAAACTAAATATCTTGGAGCATTCCATCACATTCCTTCGTTTGAAGAGAAGTTATATTAATAGGAGCTTTGTCATATTTGGCCATTCATTTATTCAAATGATAAGGTGATATTTTGATTTTTTTCAATAGAAAATATATGCCCATATTAATTATAAAAGAACAAAGTGAAGGTATATTTTGATCCGAAAACTAGTAAAATTATATTTAAGTAAAGCTAATTCAATGGTTGCCATCCCTATCTTATTTAAATGAAGCTAATCCTACAAGTGAGCTATACTATTTAAAACCAAATTTTTTTTCTATAAACAACTTATAAATAGATACCATAAATAGGGCTTTTACAATAAATAAAAACACGGCCAATTTAGGCAGTGGCCAGATGAAAGTAAGGAAAAAACGGATGATAATGAAATCGGACACGTGGAGTAATATAAGTGGGCAAAAATGGATGCAAAAGTTGTGCCGCTCAGTTTGGGACAGAATGATGGGATGATATGGCGATGAGGACACTCCTCAAAACCCAATTGGAAGGCAGCGCGTAGGATCTCACCCATCCCCCATCATATATCCCAATCCTTCGTGGCAGTCTCCTATTGGCTTTCGGTGCCACCAAAAGTTTGTTGCTTTCCTTTATCCGCCTCAAATGTTTTGTGAGATCCCAAAAAAAAATCCATTTTAAATTTAAAAAAAATTGAATATTATGAGATTATAAGCCTCTACTTTGTATGAGTATTTTTAACCAAATTTTTTCTCCAATCAATATATGAATCCTGCTGCTTACATTTTAAATATGACACATTCTTACCCTATATTATACATATAGTCCTCTCGGTTTTAGTTATAGGCCAAAGTTAACTAATTTCACAATTTTAAGGAGTAGCAGTTAATATTCTTAGATTTTTAGAAATACTCCTGTGTATTACTTCTCAATTTTGCCTTTCATTAAAATTAATGATCATAACAAAATGTTATTTAAGAATTAAAACATGATAAGAACTTGTTGCAGTGTTAATTAAAAAGGAGCGAGATAAGGAAAAAATTAACTTTATGATGAACTAGGGATTTAAAATTTTGCCTTGTAACTAGAATCAAAGGAAGTATTCACTAAGAAAAATATTTAGGTTGCTGAGATCCCAATTTTTTCAACTCTGCATTTATTTAATTTTTGCCAATTGGGTGGCTAGGAATTCTGACATATTTCTAGGGGCATCTTAAGTAAAAAGGTATATTCATTGTTCTTAAAATTCTACGAGATGGATTAATTATATGTTGAAACATAAAACTTTCCAGAATTGCTTTGTATTTGAAACAAAGGTCACATTTGATTTTTTTTTCCCTTTACTCAAAGGTACTATTTGATAATATCTAGCACTTTCGTTATTTTTTCCCCTAGTTTACATTTGGATAGAATTAAATACTTCTCTGATTCTTAATATAGGACCCAGTTTTTGAGATGGTTTTGGTCATAAATATAAGACTCATTTCTCATATTTATCAATTTTCTCTAAATTACCCCTATGGATACTTCCTCAACCATAATCAAGTAAAAAAAGGAGAGGGGGTATTAAGAAAGATGATTATGGTGTTTTAGAAAAAATGTGTCATTTTTCTTATAATTAACTAACTTACCTAACTTCTTTAATCTAATCAAATTAGTTAAATAGGTCTTATATTAAGAACCAGAGGAGTATGATATTTGGAAAATGTGCCTCGTGTGAATCTATTAAGTCTATTATTTTAAAGTAATGTAATTTTATTACAAAATCAATGATTTAATTGATATTTTTTTGATCCAAAAAACTCTTAGTTGATATTTAACTCAGTTGGTCCATGTGGAGTTAGTTGAACCATCTCAAAGAAAAGACTATTTTGCAGGTTCTTATGCTTTTTCCTGATTTTTAAGTTGATACACATATGTTCTTCTCTTACAATTAAATCCTTTAATTTTGTTTTGTTAACACGATTAGTCCTTATAATAATGCTAACAGAACAAAATTGAAGGATTTAATAAAGAAAAAGGTTTTGGATATCTAATCAATTGGGTGCCTAATCAATTGAGAAAAAGTCTAGTGGCCTAAATGATTTCTCCTGCAAATAAAATAAGTCAAATTATTCATACATTATATTTATATATAGTATAGAATTATATTTATATATAGGATAAAATTCATAAAAAGCGACTTAATTCCCAGGTTCATATTATACATAAATATATGTACATTAATCCAATCAATATTTATTGGACAAAAAGAAAACAGAGAAAGAAGAAAGGAAAATAACAAATAAAGAAGCTAAATATTTCAAATGAGGTATCTATGGTAGAAAAGAAAATAATGTCTAGTCTAATATTTTGTAAACGTAATTAAATAACTAAAATATCCATATATCAAAAGGCCTATTAACAAGTTCTGAATTGACAATAATAAGTGTTAAATAGTGAAGGATAAGATATGTATTGGCAATAGCAAATCATTTATTAACAAATTATGAACCGGTAACAACAAGTATTGAACAGCCAATAACAATAAATATATTGGTAATGATAAGTTTGATAGTTTTTTTTTCACATCTAATACAAAAGCATTTCAGTCATTTAACTATATTTATAAAAATACAATATCAGACACCACTTTCTTCTTCATCATTTTTAATTTTTAAGTGTCTGAATTAGAAAAATGATAATTTCAGAATTTTTTTCTGGAATTTTTAAAAGAAGAAATATATGGTAGCTAATGAAGTGTGGGCCTCAGTTTTGGACCTTGGATTCTTTTTCGGTTAGGAAGAAGACAGAAACCAAGCAGAAAAGAAAGTGATGGAAAAGTGAGTGTGTAGATCAGGTGAGGCCAGACATGGATTTATGAGGGAAATCAAATCATGAGCTTATTAGTCTCATTCCTCACCAATTGTTTAACGTCCAATGCCTTTATCCTTTGCCATATCTATATAACTTATACCCGGTTAGTTAGTGGCATCATCAACAGTAAAGCTACTTTTTTCCCTCCACACACCAAATAGAGCAAAAAGAAGAGGCTAGAATTGCCCACAAGTTCCCTTTTTAAAAAAAAGGATTGAACAGGAACCCATTCCCAAGTGTATCTTTGTGTTTTAAACTCAGAAAAAAAAGGCAGAAAAGACGAACATAAATGTACGTGATACAAACCTCCATATTTGCCACAACCCTTTTTTTTTGTCAAGAAAAAGGAACAACTATCTATTTAGCAGCAAATGGTCTAAAGTTTGAAAAAGCACTCTCACATTTTATAGATGTGAGTTCAAACTTTAATTTAGTAGGCATCTCTTATGCTGAGTGGTTATTTTTTGTTTTTCTTGGCGTCTTTTTTCCTATGCTTTGTTTTCTTCATGCGTTTGCTTGCCCTTTAAGATACCCACACAAAAAAAAAAACAGAATTATTTTTACTCTTGGAGAGTGGAGACTAGTTGAGGAATTAGAATGGGTTGAAACTCCAAGTGATTTCACCTTTTATGTAGTAATCTTATTATTATTATTATTTTCAGTTATGGTACGACTTGAAAGGCTTATCCAGAAGCAGAGCACTATGGCCTCGGTGCTCGTGCCCCCAAATGAACCAATCTGCCTCCAAGGATGGTGGAACACGTCACTGCACCGCCCCCATCAATCTCTACAAATTGCTCTGAAGGTGTCCGCTCCTTATAGGCTCATTTTGCAATTTGCTCAGTGCCGTCAATTAAATATGAGAGAGAGATCCCCTCATTATTGAAACCTGCCAACCCCTTCTTGATTTGGATGCATGCTTTCAGATTCCATCCCAAGCCTCACGTGTCCCATTTACCTAATTACACGTTCTCATCCTATTTACGTGTACGTAGAGCTCTTGACTATTATGGTAAACTAAATCTTGTACGGGGAATAATCTGGTAGAGGCCTGCTCTTTCATAAAAATGGAATTTCAAGAAGAAAAAAGGAAAGTTCTTGCATTTTTTATCAATCCCAAATAACATGAAGAGCCATGTACTTGAGTAGAGATGAGAGATCATTATTATTGAAACATGAAAAGTTTCTTTACATCAAATCAATCCCGCGGGTCGATATATTATTACGGTGTCTCATTCCTTCCTCTTTTGACATTATTAGCGGGCTTGAGACTTGCCCTCCTCAATTATGGCGGTACAAACTCGCAATGCCAGCTCCATTAAATGCGCAGCCTGCTGCTTTCAAGATACCACACATGGAAACTATGCACATTTGTTGAGCGCGAAGCAGAATTTTTCTTCAATATTTCCTTTCATATTTAACCAGATGCTATAGATTGGGCATCCAAATTAACAACATAGAAGTCCAATTTTTCCCACTGATGGTGCCCAGGTACTAGGATAGATATCATTGAATGGCCGCATACTGTGAAATGATGCTATAAAATAAGTGAATTTAAACAGGCCTCGTTGGAGAAACTCGGTAAGAATTGATTATGAGAATCCCAGCAAAGCCAAAAGGAAGTATTAAAACGTGTATACAGCTCCCAAAGCTAGTTGTCCCTATTATACAAGGCTTCCTACAAAATTCATCAAGATCAAGATGTGAGAGACTGGGATAAGAATTCGGATGAGAGAGTGCTATGACATTGTCTCCCTGAACTGGCAATGCGACCTGTTATCTGGTAAGTAGAAACAAAAACATCTGGATGTACTCGGGGAACAAGAAAGAAAAGAAAATAAGTTAGAACTTAGAATTCATGTAAAGCGGCTTACCAACAGAATTATGCATCTTGAATGTCAACGGAGACTTGACATCATGAATGTGATCTTTGATCAACAGTAACTTCAATGCGCTTCTCTTCTTCATCTGACTTTACTGTTAATGGCATGTCTACAAGCATATTGGGCGGGGCAAAATACATGTGTAAAGACATCATACAAATAATAATGCCCAAGAAGAGCTGCAAAGAAAGAGAGAAAAGTAAATCACTATCCAGTGATAGCATGATATTCAGATTCAGCTGGAGCGTGATGTAAGAAGAAATGACAACAAGAGCATTTATAAAGCCATTTGCACATCATGATAAGAATAAAATAAACTTACAATAAGGGTATTTGGGGCAAATGTTGCACAAAATTTGTGGATAGTTAAAACTAGAGCTTGATCAATCAAGTTTTTGCACTTGATTTAATTATTCATTTTAAAATTTGAACCGGATAACCAATTTTATGGTTGTCTGTCCTTTAAGTGTCAGGAAACTGCTACAGTGCCCTTGCTTAAATTTCTCCCTTTACTTTTAAGATAGACAAGCTCAGAACTAGAGCAACAACAAAAACAGGTTTGCTCATTGTGGAACCCAAAACTCCAAATATTCTGCAGAAATTTGATCTGAGCTAAAAGCATGGACAAGACGAGAGAGCATAAAACATTCCTGAATAAAGAAAAGGTCCATGGAAATTTACCTGCAATGTAGGCTTGAAATTGAAGAGGAATATTGATAGTACCATTGTAAGGAGCATCGCCATAGATGTCGCATAAACCTAAAGAAAGCAATCAACTGACAATTAAGGGGACACGGCAAGATCATCAATACTCAATTTGTGCCATATTCAAATTACTTATTTTCTCGCAAAGAAATAAAATTACTTTTGAAAGATGAAAACATCAGACGAGTAAATGAATTATGTGCACAGCACAACTGAGGCCCATAAAAAAAGGGAGTCTCGAGAGAGCCAGAGGAGATACCTTCACAATATTATCAGCAAATTTCATTAACCATGAAACCAAAAGACCAGTAGACCCTAGGTTCAATACTACCATCCAGGTAGTAATAGTATAACCATTGAAAATACGTTGCCAAAATGGTCCATTTTCAAATCCACCTCTGAAATCATCCATAAGAAGCCTTGCCATATTAAAAATAGCACCAAACCTGGAGAAAGAAACTCCAATCACTGTCTAGTTAGTAAATGAAATTAAATAAAAATAAAAATCATCATGTTTTAGTGGAAATCCTAAGTAGTGATTAAGAAAACCCAAGCTCACTACCATTTTATCCTGACAGACACAGCAAAACTATGCTGTTAGAAATCTCACCCATCTCTCTAAAAATTTAAAACTAAAACCCCAAGATCAGTTCCGCCTCTAATTGGTAAATTAAAGCCTCGACCCTGCTTCACCAAAAGGTTATATGTTTTCAATGATCACTTTTAATTTATAGCCACATCCCACACCATGGCTCCAATCCCATTAAAACATGTTTCTAGGAATCAAATATAAGCATAGTCTACAAAGTAATAACCCAAGTAACTAGCCACAATAGGCATATAAATTAAGATTTCTACGGAAGCACAAAAAGCCCCAATAATTTTCCATTTTTTCCATTTCAAAGTGTAATTATTTCTTATTGAAGTGGAAAATCTGAAAAAAAAAAAGTTATAGTAGGGGTGAAGAGAGAAAAATGAAGAAGAAAAAGAAGAAGTTTGAAAGATTAGCGGACTCATGAAAGCACTTGCATGTGTGAGTAAGTAAATGTGTCACGTGAAAACGCAAGAAAGAATACCTACGTGTACATCTGTACATTCTGCCAGTATAAGCTGTCATTGTTTTTCTTCATCAAGAACTCAGTGTAAACACCAGCCAATGCAGAAAGACAAGCAGATAGAACTCCTAACACGTATCCTTGAATTGGTGCCGATGATAAAAGGGAGTCACATGAAGCCTCTCCACAGCCCCTGACCTACGTCAACAGAAAACAGTAGGGCTCCCATGTCAAGAATAT